ATATATATATATGTGTGTGTGTGTATGTGTATGTGTATGTGTATGTGTGTGTGTATACTTGATTTTGGAATATACTATACATGTAAGCTTAAAGAGTAAAGTTCATATCTTGGCAATTGCTGTAAATTTTTTAAATTAATGGTGATTGCCTATCTCCTAGAACTGGAGGGGACCTTGAAAGGTCATTGAGTCCAGTCCCCTGCCTTCATAGCAGGACCAAGTACCCATCCCTGACAAATTTTTGCCCCAAATCCCTAAATGGCCTCCTTAAGGATTGAACTCCCAACCCTGGGTTTAGCAGGCCAGTGCTCAAACCACTGAGCTACCCCTCCTGTAACTTAGTTGTAAACAGATTTCAGAAAATAACAATGATGGAATCATTAATAAAAGTGACATTTTAAATAATTAAGGCTTGTGCAGTATTTATCTGCACTCTTGAAATCTTAGGTAAAATAGGTGATCATACATTCACTTAAGAATATTTATTGTACAGTATATACACAAGAGTGGGAGGGAGGTGGGAGCCAGGATGCTAATACAGAAGCAGCAGTGGGCAGGGGAGGGAAGGTAAGCAGCTCCTCAAGAGCTGGTGCTTGCGGACAGCCTTTTGCCCCTCCCTGCCCTCCTCCCGTGCTGCTTAATAGTCAGCTCCCCACGCACACTGGCTCCCTTCCAGCCGCTTCCTCCCTGCATATTAATGTGTAACCACTGAAAATTTCAGCAGTTACACATTTACAAAATAATGCTTTTTAACATCCCTCATATGGTCTAAAGAATTAAGCTGTGTAGTATGTTGGTGTTTTCTCATACTTTGCCACAGTTCATTGATCTCATAGCTTGTTAATATAAAAGCAATCCTTAGGATAATGTATGATAGCTTTATTAATTCTTCAAACTCGGTTATTTGCATTATATTTGCAATCCATTGTGTTAATCACTATGGGCGCAAAACAGAATAGATTTGGGGACTTGAGAACAAATTTGACCCTGAATAAAGCAGTATTGACATTGTTCAGTTGTGGGGAAAGGGGGTGCATGACTTTGGGGAACAGTGCAGAAGGTGTGCATATTGCGTGCTGCAAAGCACAGCTCCTCACAGGGCTTTCTAGTTGCAGTTGAATGGGGGGGATGGTGCACTTGCCATAAGGGCTACTAGAGCAACAGCAAAAGTGATTGGCTGTGTGGTTTGGGAGAGGATTCTTTTCTCTTCTCATTCCTTATTTGGGCTGAGTACCGAGAACAACAATTGCCCCTTAATTCATAGAGATGAGTGACACATACTTCCCCTCCACCAACGTATTGTTTATTGGGGTTTTTTCAAAGCTCTTTATTTTTGGCTGCTATTTGTATAGCTTTTACGGTTAAAATCTTGCGTTTTCAGCTCTTTCCCATAGCTAGTAGAGGATAGGTATGTTGAAGTGGTGATGTAAACCTTCCAATGTGGTCTCTTTTGTTATGGTTTCATTCCTAATGGCCCAAGGATAAAGTTTGGAAAGTTTCCAGATCAAGGTTTCTGGTATGGTAGCTAAATATCAAAATATTCCTATTTAAAAAAGTGAAGGTGGGTCTTGCTTCTCTTCTTCCCAGTTAGCTCTTAGTGTAAATAGTTATGAAGCCAAATTTGTAATCAACTAGGAAGAAATTCAGTGGTGACTATAAAGCTTGTTCTTCTATAGATAATGTTTTCAGATTTTCTTTTACACCATTTTAGAAATGTGGTATATATTCCATTCTTGCAAGCATGAAAGGGAAAGGCTTCTTAATTTATTTTCAGGTTGTACACAAAAATGACAAAATTATACCCATTTACAAGCATAAATTTTGAAAAATGGAAACCAGTATTTAAGTCCCATTAAAAAATGTAGCATGATTTATCTTGGAAAGCAGACAATGGATGATTGGGGGGGGAAGGAAAGTTCAACAGTCATGTGATGTTACATCATTGATAGGTTCAGAAGAACCAAAGGCATGGATTGACAGCCTTACATAACAAAATATCATTAAAGTTCGTTTATTTTGACCTTATAAGTGACTCAATGAAAATTACACTGTACTGTCGTGTAGAAGATACAAATTCAAAACTCATTTTGAGCTTTTCACAATGTGGTAGGAGGATCCAGGAACATCAAAATATGCAACACCATCTTATTTTAAGAATTCCTCATGAGACTGACTTAACATTGAGCTAAAAGGGAAAATATAAGAGAAGTATAAATAAAGCCAGAAACACTTTCTTGGTAGTCTTTTTTTTGTTTTTTACATTAGCAGCTTGGATCTTCCTCTGCAGTGTAGACATACCCTTAGGCTATGTCTAGACTGGCATGATTTTCCGTTACAAGCATTTTCGGAACAGAGCGTCTAGATTGGCAGGACGCTTTTCCGCAAAAGCACTTTTTGCAGAAAAGAATCCGTGCCAATCTAGACGCGCTTTTCCGCAAATAAGCCCCGATCGCCATTTTCGCGATCAGGGCTTTTTTGCGGAAAACAAATCTGGGCTGTCTACACTGTCCCTTTTGCCCGAACGGGAGCAGCATAGTATTTCCACAAAAACACTGACAATCTTACATGAGATCATCAGTGCTTTTGCGGAAATTCAAGCGGCCAGTGTAGACAGCTGGCAAGTTTTCCTGGAAAAGCGGCTGATTTTCTGGGAAAAACTGGCCAGTCTAGACATAGCCTTAGTGTGCAACACTTTGGTGCACTCTTCAGTTCACATCCCCAAATTCCACACTGTGGCCCAACATAGACAAGGCCTAAATTGGTGCAACATCACAACTTCAGTTAAACTGTTATAACTTGTGTGAGTAGACAAGGCCTAAGAAGAGTGTATTTTATTCACTATTTAAAATTCAGTATGTGAGAATATGTCTACAATAGTGACTGTCCATGTGTCTTGTTGTCCTGTAATCCCCTAATATTCTTGGTTAAGCCCTGGATACATGTGTCTGAAGGTGAGTGGAGGTTGAGTATGCTAGCAAGCCTAGGGTATGGGTAAGGGGTGTGTCAGGTTTGCTCATAATCCCATATCCATACCAGTTTGCAGTGTGGAGCAGGGAGCTTGTACCAGTCCTGAGTGTCAACAGTCATCCACTCCAGTCCCACAATACTCTGAATGGTTTCAGAGAGGTTAGTATGTTTCAGCAAAAACAATAAGGAGTCTGGTGGCACTTTAAAGACTAACACATTTATTAGAGTATTAGAGCATAAGCTTTCATGAGCTTCATCTTATTTTTTCAAATGTTGAAAAGAAAAGTGATAAGGGGGGGAAGGATACAGAGAGGGGAATGTAACATCAATGCTAATTAAATCAGAGCGGATTTGGCTCATCTCCAATAGTGGTGAGAAGATGAGAGTATTGAATGGGAAATGACACACAACTGGTTACTGAATGTTATGCCTTTGTTCTTGCCCACAACCATTTCAGTTTTGGGGGTGATTTATACCTTCAGATCAGAGACACTGCCATGAGTATCCACATGGCCCCCATACTAGGCCATCATTTTTATAATTCCAGCAGGATTTCAAAAGAGAAGAGTGAGGGGGGACATGATAGCCGTTTTCAGGTATCTCTAGCTTCCAATCAGGACACCTCACATGATCCGTTGTCTATAGCTAAGCCCTAAAATACAACCATGCTTGCTCTAATCCCTCAAGAAGAGACAAATGCTTAGAGGATCTCTATCAAGCATTCTTAAAACTATGCTACCCACCTGGAGAAGTGAAGAAAGAGATTGATAAAGCCAGGTGGATACCCACAAGTCACCTACTACCAGATAGACCCAAAAAAGAAAGCAACAGAATGCCACTAGCCATTACTGGCAGCCTCCAGCTAAAACCTTTCCTAATCATCATCAAGGATCTACAACGTATTATAGATGACAATCCCTTGCTTTCACAGACCTTGAGAGGCAGGCCAGTCCTTGCTTACACACAGCCTCCCAACCTGAGACAAATACCACCACCATGGCACCCTACTGCAGAAACTCTAATCCGGGAACCTATCCCTCATGCTACCCTAACACCACCACCACAGGTCCTAACCACATCAGTTATACCATCAATTCTGCTAATGTAATATATACCATCATGTAGAAGAGGTGACATGATAGCAGTTATCAAACATCTAAAAAGGTGTTACAAGGAAGGGGGAGAAAAATTGTTCTCCTTTGCCTCTGAGCACAGGACAAGAAACAATGGGCTTACATTGCACCAAGGGAGGTTTAGTTTAGAAATTAGGAAAAACTTCCTACCTGTCAGGATGGTTAAACACTGGAATAAATTGCTGAGGGGGGTTGTGGTATCTCCATCACTGGAGATATTTAAGTGCAGGTTAGACAGAAGTCTATCAGCGATGATATAGACTGTGCTTGGACCTGCTGTGAGGGCAGGGGATTGGACTTGATGACCTCTTGAGATCCCTTCCCTTCCAGTTCTAGTGTTCTATTCTAATATGTGCCAACAGTGCCTCTTTGCCATGTACATCGTGCAAAGTGGACTGTCTCTACACAAAAGAGTAAATGGACCCAGGTATTAAGAATGGCAACATCCAAAAGCCAGGGGGGATCACTTTAATTTCCCTGGACACACAGTTTCAAAGTTGCAAGTTGCATTCTCAGACAAACAGACTGAAAGGAGAATCTGCTGAGCTGGAATACATATGCAAATTCTAAATAGACACATGGAGTGGCTCTCGCATTATAAAAGGTAATTTCCTCTTCCAATACTCTCATCTTCTGACCTCTGCAAGTGGTGAGCTACATCCACTCAGATTTAATTAGCACTGATTACACAGTCCCATCTCTGCATCCTTTTCCCCTTTTTTCCCTCTGTTTCCTCTTCGTCATGTGAGGAAGTTGCAGCTCACGAAGCTTA